AGATAGTACACTCGTGACAGTACCATCCAAAAGTTAGGTCCCATCGCGTACTCGGTGGCAATACTTCCACTCCCGCCAGTGCAGTGAGAGAAAACATTTGGTTGTGCCTGTCCATAGGCCGCACGCACCGCGGAAAAAAATTAATTCAGATAGACGCAGACTAACGCAACTCAACTGGCCGCCTCCTTCACTCGTCTCCATATGTCAATTAAAATCGAAAATAACATTTTTTTCAAGGCTCTATTTTCCAAACTAAACGGTAAAAAAAGGTTTGAAAAAATATTTTCACAATATCCGTTTCATGTCCCTTTATCGCATGCTCGTTTTTATTAACATCTTACTGCTAGTTTAGGCCCTGCAAAAATAAACGCAACATTTTTATGAACTTTGTATAGGTGACACGTATAAAAAATGCTATTTTTAATTGCTTCTCAGTATTAACACGGTCAATCTCATTCTAATTGCACAAGCATGTCAACGACTTCTAGTACAACGTATAGTTTCAATTTCAAGAAATTCTGACTGTTTTCAATTCCTGACTGTTTGCGAGTACCTTTTAAGGGCGTCCTACCATTCCCCTACCAAAGTATGTGTGGTGATATTCTTCGCAATAACTAATATATATAAATAATATATATGTATTTTACAATAAATTTCTTTACAGATTTTGGGGAGAGAATTTTTATAGATGTACGTTAGCATCAAAGAAATTAAATTGCAATTTAATTCGTTACAAATGGATTCCGGCCTCTTGTAAAGAACTGTTTCAAGTCCGACAAAAATATGGCGCGCAGTTTACGTGTGGCTGGATATTATAATTATTACACAACAACATCCGTGTTGACTCGCATTGGCATTACTTCACTATTGTTAATTAATCATTTAAGTCTGCTTTTATTTTTTTATTTTGATATGTTTGTTAAAATTAACTCATAATTTCAGATAAGTATATGACATTGGATTTACACGTTTATTTTATACGCTTTTGTATGACTGTGTTAAATTTTTATATCATGAAATTTCTGTATTTTAATTACGTATTTTTCTTTATCTTTACAAGATAAATATGTCTTTGGTTATTACAATTCTTTTCTCATATAATTATTAATTTTTTCTTTATTCTGGAAACTTACAGTTGTTGAATTTTTGTGTACTTTATTTTTAATTCATATATAGGGGTCAGGGTGTCCGGTACTCAACGGTAAAACGCTCGTGGGCAGGTAGAGTGGGCTAAATTGAATCAAAAAGTCCTCTACCATTTTACGTCCTCAATAGTTATTGAAATACTAATCATATTTTTAAAAAATTTACGTCATGTATATAAAGAAGTATTGCAGTACATTACATCTTTTTTAAATCATTGGTCATTTTAGTTACTTTAAGTCTGTTTTATGAAATTTAAAATTATTTGGAAAGACAATGGCATTAAATTTTTGCTGCATATACTTTTAAATGGTTTAAACGATTTATTAAAAAAATATTTTTGTTTTTATGTCTAATCAAATACTTGGCAACTTGTATGATTTCACATTTGTTTTTGAACAGTTTTTATTTGTTAAAATAATATTGTTACGCCCGTGTTTCGGTGTCGGCCGAGCATAAGTTGGTTGCGCCGACTGAAATCGTCCGCGGAAGCGGACAAGAGAGGGTTGCTCCCTTAGCAACGAGTTGTTTGGCGGGACTCTCTGGATTGACGCGAGTTGGAGATACGCTTGAATGTATTAAGAGTTCAATAAACCGTTGTAGTTCTTTTATAAACAAGTGTGTTGTTCTTTTTCGCGCGATCTCGCGAGTGTCACCGTCTTTGTCGCAGGCGCGAGTGTAACAGTGAACACGAGCATAACAATATTTTTAATTTAAGAAGGATGTAATTAATGTGTATGATACTTTTTAAGAAACATTTATAAAATGACTTCTCTAATCCTAATTTTATTTAATTTAAATTTTGCTACAAAAAAAGAGAGTACCCATCAATATAAAATAATCCTAGATCGGAA